GAAACTAGAGGTGGAGTTAACTCTGCAAGGTAATTATTGCAGTTTATCAAAAACTGCAATAATTACACTTGCAGGGTTAAGAGTAGTGGGAGTTGGCACCCAGACCACTCCAATGGGTAGAAGTGGTCTGGGTGCCTGGAGTGTCCCTTTAAGTTGGAAAAACATAGCAGATTTAAAGTATTCCCAATTCAATCCAGTGAGCATTTGCAATTTGTTTTTTATTTTTCTTCAATTGTCAATTTAGTGAATAATCCTGATATAATTCAAGATGGACACTTGTACTTTAACTTTTTTTAGAAAACCTGTGTTAAAGGGACACTCCAGAGCCCTAAGCACTTAATCTGCAATCTCCCAGAGCACGTGCCTTGTAAAGACTCATTGAGCTGCATTGGGAAGACTGTGATTGGATAGTCACACAAAGTCTGGGCAGGGTTAGAAGGGGAGGGTTTACAAAGGCTTCGAACAAGAGATCTGCAGCTTTTGCAAACTGTTTTAGATGTAACCCAATTAAAAATGCATAATTAAATGCATGCACGTTTTCCAGGGTATATCTACAAAACTGTGGAGTGTCCCTTTAAGACTTAATAAATATTACAAAGTCTTTTGATAAATACAGATTTTTTTTGTCATAAGTAGTGTTGTGTATATGCAGTAGAGCAAAGCTGAAATGGTCATCTTTGACAATATTTAGCCCAACAGGTCCATGTGTACTACATATTACAATATACACACTTTTTTGAATATTCAATGACAAACATCAGAAAATGTCAGAATATCAAACTTTATTGTGATTTAAACCTGGGATTTGTGTTCCCAAAGATTTTAATTCTGATCAGACAGTCACAACAGCAGTTGATGATGATAGCAATCCAATACTGTAAGGTTCAACTATTTTGCAAGTACTAATTATTGCTAATGATCAGCACCTGTCATTGTTTGCTCCAAACTGATTAAATTATAAGGTAGCTAGTTCCCTTTTCACATAAGGGATTGTTAACATTTATTTAACAGTTCCACCCTGTCATCCCTTCTGTGGTATGAAGTCATATGAAAACAGTCCCCTGGTTCAAATTCAGAGATTTTGTTACTTTTATGAATAATTTTTTACTTTGTATTTATTATTTTTATAATTTTCTTTAAGACTCCTGCTGTGTTTTATGACAGCCCTAGAGCTGATATAGAGCGGTCGTAGTCTCTAGTTGCCATATCAGTTATACAGACTTGATGACTCCTTACGTACAACACGTAATGAGTCATCAAGTCTGTATAACTCCTCCTTACGTACATCTGTTCTTTCAACCTTTCCCAAACTATTTAGCTGAATATATTATATACTAAATTGCTTCAATGTGATTAAACCAATGATTCGTATTCTTAATGATATATTGACATTCTGTACTATGTCCGAATCACTTAAGAAAAAGTGGATTCACAACAAATATGAGCACATTGATCATTAATTTTTAAAACTAATTTCTAACCCATAATATAAAAAAAATCATTGAGCCACCTTTTTACACCTGGTGAATATTATACAGAGTGAGGGGGCAGATGGGGGTTAAACAAGGTAAAGTTTATATCCTGTTTTTAAGGTCACCACCATCCCTACTGCTTTATTTCGACAAAAGCACACCTAAGCAATCTGTAACAAAAGTTGAAGCATCATTTTAAATGCCTTTTCGCTACAGAATATTTAGCCATCGTTAAACTGAATTCATATTTTTCAATTAAACTTCTGAGGCCAAACTCGAAAGTAGATCCCCTCCCACCTGCATCAAATGAGACATCTGACTTATGAGGCAGGTACAAAGCTTCAGTTATTTTACCTGAATTAAAATAGTACTTTAATTTAACTTAAAACATCTATATATATTATTGGCATAACTAATTTCCACACGATACTACTGAAGCAAAATAATTGGAAATTGGTTAATGGCATGGCCTCCTTACCTATTGGAAATGTTTTGAAGAAAGATTAATTTATTATTGTGTGAGTTGGAATGATGGTTTTGTAAGAGTATTCAGTTGTTTATATCCAAGAATACAGTTACATCTGATTCCGAATGAATTAAAGTACAAAGTGTATATTCTTTAGAGATCGCTTTTTAAGAGCATGTGGTAGAAATAGGAAATGCAAAAAAAAATCAATGTTCAGGTTTAGAATTTTAACGAAATATAAAACTTTAACAAAGGGGTTTTAATAATTAAGCAGTGGACTATATTAAAATGACTAACAATTAGTGGAGTTAAATTCTACAACTTAGTTTAATAATATGGATCTGCATTCATCACAGTTTACTATCGCGTAAATTTTACTGTATAGTAAAAAAAATGTACTTTACCTAACTTTCATCATTTCTGTCTGCATTCGTCTGGTGTATCAGAATCCTGTCACTTCAGCTGTGCATTGCCTGAACTAACCTTGACCTCCCCCTTGCTTTGTTACTATTTTATAGACCAGGGGTACATTTGAGCGGCACGCGTGGCTGCCGACCGATCTACACTGAGGGAAACCGGAAGGGAACTTGCGCAGCGGCGGAACTTCCAGCATCACAAGAACTTGCGATCTGGAGTTCCGCCTATCAGGCTACTCTTACCTCAGCTCCAATGATCTGTGCCTTGCCTCCAGCCCTCCCACTCTGTCAGCAGCATCCTCAGCCTCGCCTTCTGCCTAGTCTTTAGCCCCGCCTCCTGCTCCTGACCGTCTCACAAAATCAGAGATTGCCTTGTCTCTTGTGTCTGCCACTGTTACTACCCTTGTGTCTGCTACTACCACTTCACTGTCAGTCCTTGACTCTGAATACTATCAGGTAAATTGCCTTAATTTTCCTGGTGCCAGTGCCACACTATTTTTTGTTACAAATAAATGCTCATCAGGGCATACAGGGATGGTCCCCAAGAGCTGTCAATCTAACTCAAATTAACTTTACTGTGATACAAAGTATTATTATACTGTCAGACAGACCATTTATATCACATAAATGTTAACTTGTGTTAGATTGCATGCTGTACAGTCCATTCCCTGGGTGCCCTGGTCTCTATATGTAAAGGCTTGAGGGAATAGCCCCCAAAAACTTGCAATCTAAGTCAAGTGAGCATTTCCTAATTATGTAAAACATACAAACAGAAATACTAGCTTGAGTTAGATTGCAAGCTCTTGGAAGCCATTTATGTAATGTGAGAGACTAGGAGAGATCAGATATGAAGTGTGACAAGTGTACTCGACTACAATGTGCCACATTACACTCCACCATTCACACACACAAATCACACTCCGCTGCCCCCCATAACGCCAAAACCCTCACACAAATCACACTCAGCCAACCATACGCACAACAGCTACCCCCCTCCACACACACACATCACAATCAGCCACACAATACAGACATCCCACATAATTCCACACACAGTAGTAGAACACTGATGCACTCTGAACCACATAACTGAGTTTTATTGCTGTGGAGCTCTGTGATGAAATTATGCACTCACTTTGATGTGAGTACACTGCATTTATTACTTTCATATTACTGTGATTGTTTTTGCAGTTGAGCTGTGTAAAACTCCTTACATACATGAGTGTTTTATTGCTGTGGGGCTCTGTGATACATTCAGCGATGCATTTACTGTGAGGCTAACAAGGTATTTGCCTTTGGCGACACTTTCCAAGGGACGGCAAAAAACACCTCTCCAAATGCCCAGGCCTTGTTAGCCTTGTTTTATGGGGTCCCAAGAGCTGACTGGTAAGCCAGTTTTGAGCCACCGTGGGATGGACAGCTAGTTGTTTTCCATGTGGGCGGCGCGGGTGCACTGATCTGTGAGCTCTTCCTGCAATGCTCCCTCGCGCGCCACTTAGTATATGAAATATGACATTATATTTCACCTCCCGGCATCACTAAGTGGCATGCAAGCCAGCTAAGCAAGAAAATGACAGCTCCCTTGCTGTCTACTTTGCGAGTCTGCCTTCCTGCAAGCCCATTCGCTTGCCCGCCCAGCAGCCCCACTGGACCCCAGGTAAATAATCCACCCAGCTTTCTCAACAGTAATGAGGCTGGGTAGATTTAATTTTTTTTTAAGAAATAGCAATAATTTGTGAGTGTTAGGGGAAAATGTGTGTATGTGTTTGTCAGTGAATATATGTGTTTATATCTGTGAGTGTGTCTGTGAGTGTGTCTGTGAGTGTGTGATTGAGTGTGTGTGTGTGTGTGTGAGTAAGTTTATGTCTGTCAGTGAGTTTGTGTCGGTCTGTCAATGAATGTGTGAGTGTGTGTGCCTGTAAGTGAATGTGTGTGAAGGTCAGTGAGTGTGTCTGTGAGTGAGTTTGTGTATGTCGGTCAGTGTGTGTCTGAGTGAGTGTGTATGTGTTTTTCAGTGAAAGTGTGTGTCTGAGTGATTATGTGTCTGTCAGTGAGTGTGTGTGTGTCTTTCAGTTCATGTGCGCTTCTGTCAGTGTGTATCCGAGTGATTGTGTGTGTCTGTCAGATTATGTCAATTCAATTTAAATGTCAATACAGTGAGTTTGTGTGTGTATGTCAGTCAAAATGTATGTTAGTCTTTAACAGGAAAGGTGGGGCAAATTTAAATTAGAGGGTTCCCAAGTTCAACATGCCTTGGGCAGCACAAATCCAAAATACGCCAGTGAATACATTAATACACTCCATACATAGTTTGAGACCTGTGATAAACTGTCAACTGAGCACTCTCAGTCAATCACTGTCTTAATCTCTGGTATGGCTTGAGATGGAAGCTTAGTTCTGTCTCCTCTGCATCACCATTAGAGGCCAGGTTACTGGGGACCAACCTGCACTGCTAAATGGTGAGCAAACAATTTAGTAGTGACATGGATCCTGGCACCCACAGACTCCAGGTAACATAACCACTTAAATACATTTAAGTGGTCATGGTTGTTTTTTAGAGACCCTGCTGGGCCCTGCCATGCTCTAAATCAATATTGCAGTAGCTCTAACCTGGGCTTACCCTACTATTGGCGACAAGCTGTGATTATGGCTGACACAGTCCTGGAGGGGGCTCCGAGTATATTGCGGCCTGGTGTGCAGCGTGGAAGGGAGAAGCGGCCAAATCTCCCGCCTGGAGCAGCCTGTGCCAAGCCAAACACCAGCTGTCCTCCCTCCTTTGGACCTGCGGGGATGATCCCGGAATGGACCCAGGAGGTTTCTCAGTGAGCTGGGAGCACACGACACCACCACAAAGCCGACACTATGTGGCAACTAAAATGACAGCCACCGTATGTGCTTCTGACCCAGGCAGTGGGAAATGGGATGTGCAGTATCGGCTGAACCGGCTCTGACGCCTTTTGGGAGAAGCTGGATAGCTTGCCTTGAACCAGTGGCCCCAGCAGCAGCGATCACCCACAGGGTCTCTCACTCTGGAAGATGCAGAGGGCAGTGGACACAACACTTCCGAACCGAACATGAGATGCTGACGGCAGGTCAGAATGGCTGTGAGAAGGAGCAACACTCCATCATACCTACATCCAAGCTGGTTATGCTCTACTGCACCGGAGGGGCAAAAGGAGCAGCAACTCAGCCTGTTTTCAAATCTTTTCTGCATACTGCTTAGGCCTCTAACTGGGACTCTGACCTGTTGAAATCCAAATTATTGAATTGAAGGCATCAGAATTATGGAGAAAAAAATTTGAAGAACTGCGGAAAACTCTGGAGGGAAATTGCACAGATAGATCAGCTGCCATTGTGCAATGTTGGACCAGTCTACCTGAAAAATGTATCTGCTTAAAGAAAATTGCATTTGCATTGCTTTCAGCCTTTGGGTCAGCATATATCTGTGAGCAAATCTTTTCACACATGAAGATCATTTTGAATCCGCATTGAAGGCGTCTCACAACTGCTCATTCGGAAGCCTGTGTGAAACTTAAATTTACAAAGTATGTTCCTGACATAGAGGAACTAAGCAAGGAAAAGCAAGGACAGGGATCTCACTAAGTTTGTCCTGTACAAAATAAAAAAAATGCTGTTGTTGTATGTTCTTTATTACGTTTAAAAAATATTTTCAGCAAGTGTAATTGTAATTAGAAATTACATTTAAAAGCAAAAGACAAATCAATACGATTAGTTGTTCTCTTAAAACAGACCTTCTTTATTTGTTGTTATCATTAATAAAACATTTAACTTTCTTAACCATGCATTCCTCCATTCCAACCATGCATTAAATTTATTGCCGGCACACCAAGGGACGTCAAGGTTTTATTTTGGCACAGCACTACCAAAAGGTTGCCTACCTCTGTTATAGACCTTTCTGCAAAAGAATTCCTACTGGAGTTTCAACTAGTCAACTGAGCTTTTAATGCAAAATCGGGTTATAGGGAATGGGCATAGTAGAACTGGTGGTCCCTGTGGCTATTCACTCAAAAGCCACATAGGTATTCTTATTATACATCTTGATTAACAGACACAATCAATCCTAAATTTCTATTTTACTTATTCAAACTAATATAAGACATGAGAGAAAAGAATAAGGGTGCGCCTAAAACAAGTAAAAATAGTAAAATGAGAATAGCAGCAATAACAAAAAATTCGGAAAAATGTCCAAATAATATAAAAAATGGGATAACCACGGTACCTAATAGTCCAAATATAAAATGTCCAAATGCGCAAATGGTGGTCCTAATAGTCCATCAGAAGGGTATGTAGCGTCCCGGATAAGTATAAATATGCGGGGAGAACAGAAGAGAGAGAAAAACTCCAATGGTGTAGTATAAAAACAGAATATGAATATATAGTAAATATTTGTGGAACTACTCACAATCTTCAGAGCTTAAATCCAGCTCTGGTATGGATAGCGTGAAGTGGAATAATCCCCACTCAAGGATATGTGGTGCTCCTCTTTGGTCCTTTGGTGGAAGGATGGAGTTCAACTCGGGATAAAAATAATAAAAAAATATATAGTGCTCACTGTGTGGTTGGTGAAACAATAAAAATGAAATAAAATATACTCACGGTATATAGAGCAGACGTACTGCTCGGTGAATGGCGTATGGGTGGTATAATCCCCACCTTAAGGATTCTTTGGTAGTCCAATATGGTCTAAATCGATGGTAGTTAGGTCTGGATAAAATGAACTTACATAGAATAAAATAATAAATAATATGATATAAAAGTGAAAAGAGGAATGTGGCACACCAGTGTATAATAGCCAGATATTCCTTTAATGACACTTTGATTTTAAAAAAGAAAGTTTCTATACGCGTTTCGCCACAAAGGCTTCATCAAGTAGAAACAGTATAAAAAAGTATTTCTTCCTCTGAACCCCTTGAAGTACAATAGAAAAGAGAGAAAAGAATAAGGGTGCGCCTAAAACAAGTAAAAATAGTATTTCTTTTTTATACTGTTTCTACTTGATGAAGCCTTTGTGGCGAAACGCGTATAGAAACTTTCTTTTTTTAAATCAAAGTGTCATTAAAGGAATATCTGGCTATTATACACTGGTGTGCCACATTCCTCTTTTCACTTTTATATCATATTATTTATTATTTTATTCTATGTAAGTTCATTTTATCCAGACCTAACTACCATCGATTTAGACCATATTGGACTACCAAAGAATCCTTAAGGTGGGGATTATACCACCCATACGCCATTCACCGAGCAGTACGTCTGCTCTATATACCGTGAGTATATTTTATTTCATTTTTATTGTTTCACCAACCACACAGTGAGCACTATATATTTTTTTATTATTTTTATCCCGAGTTGAACTCCATCCTTCCACCAAAGGACCAAAGAGGAGCACCACATATCCTTGAGTGGGGATTATTCCACTTCACGCTATCCATACCAGAGCTGGATTTAAGCTCTGAAGATTGTGAGTAGTTCCACAAATATTTACTATATATTCATATTCTGTTTTTATACTACACCATTGGAGTTTTTCTCTCTCTTCTGTTCTCCCCGCATATTTATACTTATCCGGGACGCTACATACCCTTCTGATGGACTATTAGGACCACCATTTGCGCATTTGGACATTTTATATTTGGACTATTAGGTACCGTGGTTATCCCATTTTTTATATTATTTGGACATTTTTCCGAATTTTTTGTTATTGCTGCTATTCTCATTTTACTATTTTTACTTGTTTTAGGCGCACCCTTATTCTTTTCTCTCTTTTCTATTGTACTTCAAGGGGTTCAGAGGGGATTCCCTTTTTAAGGTGTGCTGCCTTGTTATTATACTCCCTGTTTCTTATCAGCGCTGAACCTTTTCCCTGATTTCTAATATAAGACATGGTCTTACCTGGTGGAGGGACTAAGAAAATTCCCACTAATTCCCGCAGTGGAAACACAGAGTATCGAGGCAACTGCGCCAACAAATGTTAGGGTGCAACAATTGCATAATTGTTAAGTTGACTTGAATATTGTATACTTTATTTTGATAATATAAAGCACAAATAAGACAGAAATATGTTTAACATTTACAATTCCTCTAAGTGCGCTCTTTCTAGGAAACGATTCGATTGGTTGGAGTTTTGAGCATTGAGGTAGACCAAGAACGAAAGCATCAGTGTTTGGTGAATGCACCCAAGCAGGAAATATATAAATTCTGTCGAGGATAAAGTAAAAAATAAATCTTTCGAGTAGCACTAAAATGCAATTAAGAAAACAGATGGGAGACTGATACACAGAAGAAGTTGCCATCACATTTGAGTGTCTTTTTGTCATGGTGTGGGCCTTTTGGAAACGATCTTTGCAGCATCTATAAAAGATTGTATGTGATTTTTTTTTTCAATGGAGGGAATTGTAAATTCTGATTCTTTACATTACTCTATCAACTTGTACAAAACAAGACAGACATTCTCTCTTAATTCAACTCTTATCTAAAAAAAAAGTTTTAGGAAATCCTTGACAGTGTGTCTTTCTACAAATTAGATTGTCTAAAGTAACAATTTCAAACTGATGTATTTTATTTATCTCTTTCTTTTCTGGTGGTCTAAGTGCTATCTGAAGTATCTCGACAACTTCTAGTGATGAATACAGATTTTAGGATAATATCTGGAGTAGGTAGCTTTTTAATGGCTTCTCATTACCATCACAAGGAAGTCTGTTTTCTTTGGAACCACACTCAACAGACAAGGATGCCATTGTCCTGCTGTAGAGTAGCAGACATTCGTTTAACTATTTGCTGACGGGTATTGTTTCTCAAACCTACGCAAGCGTCAACTAGAATATTGTTAATTAAGCACATTGTTATGTTCAGCACCTCTTTTTCTACCAATGTTAAGGAGCTACTTGAATCTGGAATAGGATACAAAACCTAAATTATTCCACTGACAGGACTTTAAAAAAAAAAAGCCAAAAAATATTTATAATTGTGCAGCTGTCTTTACAAATCTGACCATGCTATATATTGTACAATATACTTAAATTAATAGTAAAATCGTTTACAACAATTATTTATACACACATATGTATCTGTTTGTGTGTCATCGTGTGCACATATAGAATATATATAAGATTTGGTAGATCTGTCAAACTGTTGAGAAATGTAAAAATCTAGATTCAACATACTATATATAGTATATAACATATATATATATATAAAGCAGGTTTGCCAGGATGTTACATAATTACAAACCTAATAATATATTTCCATCCTTGAGGTTGGTAAAGTAAGATGAAAAATTGAATTAATAGTTCTGCAACAACTAGGGATCCACCAGCTGGCCATCCTTGGTCTAAAATGCGTTGTGCTAGTTTTCATGAAGGCAGCATTACAACTGTGGTTGTTAATATATATTATTATTATTACTATAATTATTATTATTGGCATTTATATAGCGACAACTTATTCCACAGCACTTTACAATATTATTAAGGGGAAATGTAACAACATATGACACAAATTATTACACATTTTGACAGGAACAATAGGGGGATGAGGACCTGCACGAACAAGCTTACTTAGAAACATAATGTGTCCCATTTATGACAGAGAAAAGTTGTTACAATGCTTACATTAGGTCCCCCCTTTATCTGCACTCCAAATATTATCAAGCAATGCCTCAAAGCCATCCGGATAGGCGAGGCGGCACTCTTACTTTGGGGCTCTCATACCCGGGCAGGATAATTATTGCATTCAATGATCCTTTATGATAGGATTTTGATTAGCATACTGTGGTGAGTTCCATGCTGTGATTACGGTCTCCCGTTTGAGGAGCAATGGATTGGACTATTATTCTGGAGGCACGCGTCAAGCATGACATCACTCAAGGAGGAGCATGTGAAAGCACTGAGGGAGACTTGGCAATAGAGAAGAGGTAAGTAAAATGACTTTATTTTTTTCCAGTACAGATGGGTGGGGCAGGCCTGGAAATAGATAGGGACAGTGATACTATATATAGCGTTAGGAATATAAATTTGATAGTGTCTTTTTAACCGATTTTATTACTTTTGGACAGCTCCCAACTCTAAATTACCCATAATGAGGTATTCATGCTGAAAAATTCACTAAGTAAAAATACTTTGTGTAGTAGACATATTGAAGCTCATGAATTAGTGATACAAAGGATCTAAACAA